AAAAAAAAAAAAAGCACCTTTGGGACAACCAGTACCAGGATGATGGAGCATCTGCTAGATGATTAAGAATACTATGCAGAATTCTATGCCCTCTTTTAAAGCTCCAGATATTTGCCATTTTTGCTAAGGCTTGCTCTTAACTTGCAGGACAAAGGAAGCCATAATTTTCTACTATATAGTCACAAGCCAGTGGGAAAAAATAACCTCTCTTGCTAGGCTATCATTAACAGATTCCCTTCTCTGTCCCAAAGGCCCTGGGGGGGGGGGGGGGGGGGAAGAAACATGTGGAAAAGGATAGACTGAACCATGCTTAGTGCAGCTGAAGGCAGTTTTCTTACAATGCGGTGCCTCAAAAAAAAAACCTCAAAGCCAATTTAACGAAGGGCTATGGAGGTTTAAAGAGGGAGAACTTGTTTTATGAGCAATGTTATTAAAAGAGAGGTTTCTGAATTATTTTTCTGGAAGTCCTGGGGTTTTTTTTGTGTGTGTGTGGGAGTAATATAACAGGATTCAGTATGAGCCTCATAGGAGACTGGAGGCTAAAATTAGGCAAAACTAAAACATATGAAGAACATCTACAACTTCCTGTTGTAGTTGTGTTTTTTCCCCCAGGCTCGAAAACCTCATTTATTAGATATTTAATTACCTGAGCAGTGATGTGAGGCATACTATAAAAGGCCTGCCCAAAGCATTTTTTTTTTAAAAATATCTGACACAGTTTTATTCTGCAGCTTTAAGATAAATGCTGGACAAAATAAGGTGTGTACTGATGATGTTACTTAGTTGGGTCATTAAATGTCTGCAAGAAAACAACCAAGAGGCCAACAAGGACCCCATAGTTTAACAAATCTTGTCTCCTATTGATGCTCTATGCTCTATACCAGGAGTCTTCAAACTTGACAGCTTTTAAGACTGTTGGACTTCAGATCCCAGAATTCTTCCTCCAGTCATGTTAGTTCTGGAATTCTGGGAGTTGAAGTCCACCAGTTTTAACCTTGCCAAGTTTGAAGACCCTTGCTCTATACTCTATTATGTCTGATTCAGTGGCTCATAAAGCAGACAGATTCAGACCCTCTTTTAAATCTATGGAGAGATTCCCAGACACAGAACTGAGATCACTTCCTTTTGCCAGTCACCTTTATAAAATTAGAAACTCACACTGGAGCAGGCCAGCTATCTGGGTTACACAGCCAGGAAGTGGTCATCCCTCTGTTAATCAAGGGTTTCTTCTCTGGGACAAGCACTCTGGGCAGCACACCAGTGGCGCATTTAGTTGTGGTTTTATCTGATGTGGCTCCTGTCCACTGGGACCTCAACACGGAAGAACACAATGTCCTAATTTTAGGAAGCCCTTAGTAAACGCTTAAGCTCTACCCCACGGGGGGAAAAGCGAGAGTTGGATCTTCTCCCCGGTTTGGTTGTGCACAAAAACATCGACCTGGACTCCAGATGTAGTTTTAGATCAGGGCCAGGATGCCGTGTGTGCTTGAACAAGTAGATGTCTGAACCATCTAATCGAAACAGGGTTCCAGGTTTTGTAGGTAAAGCTAGTTGTTGGGATCTGGCTAAGAGGTTGCAGGGACTGGGCCTGGCTAGTCTAGGGAAGAGAAGGACCAGGGGAGACAGGAGAGCAGCCTTCCAATAGTTGAGGGGCTGCCCCAGAGAGGAGGGAGGGGTCAAGCTGTTTTCCAAAGCACCCGAAGGCCAGACAAGGAATAATGGGTGGAAACTGAACAAGGAGAGATTCGACCTGGAAATAAGGAGAAACTTTCTGACAGTGAGAACAATCAACCCATGGAACAGAAGTTGCCTTCAGAAGTTGTGGGAGCTTCATCCCTGGAGGCTTTCCAGAAGAGATTGGACTCCCGTCTGTCAGAAATGATGGAAGGTCTCCTGCTTGGGCAGGGGGTTGGACTAGATGACCGACAAGGCCCCTTCCAACTCTGTTAATCTGTTATCTGTTATCAGATTCTCTTCCAAACTTCTGGTCCAATGTGTGGAAGTCAGAAGAAGCGAAGGTCCATCCAGGGTGGCACCCTTTATCTACCCAGTTTGGGCCACCCAGAATTCACGTTTGGCCCAAACAGGACAGACTGGAAGCCAATGAAAGAAATCCATAGAGGATAAAGCCGTTGTTAGTTTCCAGCCATGATGGCTAATCATTTGCTCATCTGTTTTTCTCTGAGATAATCATTTGCTAAATCTATGAAACCGGACACTAAAAGGGAGCTCTTGAAGTAGGGAAGGCTCTGCTTAACGCTGTATTGAAGGACACTTTATTAATTATTATCTAGGCATGCACAATGCCAAGTTTGCTTCTTTAGAGAGGTTCTGGGAACTCTTCAACTGGGTCCCAAAAGTTCTTTTCAAAAGGCAACTGGACTTCCTTGGTTTTTCCCTCCCTCCTTGAAAACATTTCGCTTCTTATCCAAGAAGCTTCTTCAGTTCTGGCTGAATGATGGGGAATGGAAGGATTTAGAGTAGAGTAGAGTAAAAGGGAAAGGGGGGGGGAAGGGAGGGGAGAGGAGGAGGGGAGAGGAGAGGAGGGTGGAGGGGAGAAGAGAATTTTTTATGAAAATTCTCATGGGTGCAAAATGTACCATGAATAATTCAACTGATTTGCTCGAGCACAAAATGTAGAAAAGTCACCCTGTTGGAAGAAAAATGTTGAGAAAGATCTAGGGAGATTCTCCATCATCCAGGTCCTGGTTGTCCCAAAGGGGCTTTTTCAAGAGGCAACTGGGCTTTCTGGTTTTTCTTTAAATACTTTTCGCTTCTCACCCAAGAAGCTTCTTCTTTTGAAGACGACAAAGCCCCCATTTTGGACAGAGAGGACCCCTGGTTTGAAAGAAGGGGCCAAAGAGGCCACCTATGTCCAAGTTGAACAGCCTTCTCTTAATAGAGCGGGTGGGATACCACATCTATTTATTTATTTTATTTATTTTATTTTATTTTATTTATTTGATTTGCCAATTGTTTACAAGATAATAAGTATAAGTGTATACATAGTTGTGAATACATGAAATGGGTACATATAAGAAAAATAAAAGAAGAATAAGAGAAACAATAGGACAGGGACGGTAGGCACACCACCTATCTCCAGTCTACATCACGCTCCCTTCAGCAGTTCCAAGGAGGCTCCAACCCCATTTGCACCCCTCAGGTGACCCTGAGGACACAGACAAACCCCCAAGTGGCCTCAACAGCTCCGTAAAAAGGATGCAAATGGCCAGCAGTCTGCAAGGAATATAAATCCTTCCCTTCCTCACCATCCAGTCAGAGCTGAAGAAGCTCCTTGGATGAGGAGCAAAACGTCTTCAAAGAAAAACCAGAAAGTCCAGTTGCCTCTTGAAAAACGCACCTTTGGGACAGTTGAGAAAGATCTCCACCCTACATCCATGATCTCCATCCTCCACCCTCCATTCCTGTGGAATCAAGGTTGGTCAACCCGTCAGAGAAAGTTACTAACATCAACAGAACAACCCAGGGTATAGATGCATATAAAGCAGCCGCAAACCCAGATTTCATCCAACTTTCCTTTTTCTTCCCATCTCCCTAATTTCTTTTAAGTTAGGGTCCTGACCAAAAGGTTGGAGCAATCGAATAACCAACCTAATTCTGACTCGGTGCCGATGGCATTGTAGAATAAAAAACTCAGCTATTCCCTGGGGCCAAAAATATGCCATTTTTTCCTTGCAATTCCTTGCAATTCCCTTGCAAATATGTTTGCCATTGAGAACACAGCTGCTTTCTGAAGAAGATCAGTAACTAGGTTTAAAGCGTCCTGCGATTTCCCCTGCAGATCTTCAACATCTTCTGTAAACCAAGATGTTTCATCATAGGATGGGACTTACCTTCCTTGGCTTCACTTTGTCGTGATAGTCATATTGGAAGATTCCTTTGTAGCTGAGTCCTAACCACCATGGGATTCCCTGCTTATCCTAGAAGGATAAACAGAAACAGAAACAGAATAAACGACTTAGTTCTTTTTAACATTTTACTATTCAGCCTAGAACTAAGGAGACATTTCCTGACATGGAACAATGAACTAGTGGAACAGTTTGCCTTCAGAAGTTGTGGGTGCTCCAACACTGGAGATTTTTCAAGAAGAGTTTGTCTGAAATGGAATAGAGGTTTCCTCCTGGAGCAGGGGGTTTTCTGTCCAAAATGTGGGTTTTGCTGTCTTCAAAAGAACGGCCTTTGTCCTTTAAATGGAGATGGACTGCTGAATCTTATGCTGATGAGTTTGTTCTCCTAAGTTGTGCCATGCGTTTTATCCTTTCAGGCATCTGATTTTTCAGTTTGGTTTACGTCCCTATGAAGTCAGGGAGGCCATTTATTTACTTGTCAAACATGTACAAGATAACAAGTATAAGTATGAACATAAACAAGGACAAAGGAAGTAAATACAGGTAAATGGGGTCAATAAGAGAGGGACGGTAGCAAGGGTGGGATTCTACCCGTTCGCACCTATTCGCTAGAACCAGTTGTTAACATTCTAAGCAGTTCGGAGAACCGACTATTAGAAGAAATTACTGGCCTAATCCTGTAAGGAAGGCAGGAAGGAAACATTCTGGTGTTACTTACAGAAACTGCCTCTCCGTTAACCCTTATTACATTCTTGGCAGGACTAGACTTCCTGTCTCAGAAACTTCTCTGGAGGCTTTTCCCCCTCCTTCGTTGGTACTTTGCTTGTGTGGAGTGACCATTCAAAGTTACAATGGCACTGAAAAAAGTGACTTATGACCGTTTTTCCCACTTACGACTGTTGCAGCATCCCCACAGTCATGAGAGGCCAGGGGAGGAGATGCGTGCCTCGATGTGAGTGATATTAGTTGGCCACACCCAGCCAATAACATGACCACCAAGCCACGCCCACAGAACCGGTTGTTAAAAAACACTGTGGGCGAAAAACATGACCACCAAGCCATGTCCACCCAGTCACATGACCACCAAGCCATGCCCACCACCTAAGCCACGCCCACAGAACCGGTTGTTAAAAATTTGAATCCCACCCCTGGACGGTAGGCACGCTGGTGCGCTTATGCATGCCCCCTTTAAGGACCCCTTATTAACTTAACACAAAAGACAACATTCAGAACAGAATCCCATATAAATAAATAAAGATTGCAGTTGTCTGCGGCCAACCCGTTCGTGAATTAAATAGCACTTTTCCAAGCGCACGCACCTTGACTGCATAATAATGGACTCCGTAGGTTGGAAGCGACTCTACAATGCTCATGTAACTAGAAAAGAAACATCAAACATGATGTCAAAGACCCAAAGTGCATGGTAGTTAATGCAAAGCAGCATTCTGACATCTGGGCCATGTTTCTAGACCCATCGTTGCAACCCAGCCTTGCATGTTCTAAACCTGCCCCAAAATTGGAATTCATGTCACTTAAACATCATCATGCTTTATTTTAGAAAGAGTGCAGAGAAGAGCAAGCAGGTGTCAGGATTCCAGCAATTGCCCTAATTAAATCATGATTCTCGAGCCAAACTTCAAAAAACTTCAAAGGATTTATTAGAGGTGACATGCTGGCACTGCCCTGGATGAAGCCAACTCTGGCATACGCCATTTACAGTCCCCTGAGACCCTATTTCCCACCTCTCCCCCAGGTGTGTCATAAATCAAATTCTCCAACTGAGACCATTCACGGGCTGGCTGTCATCAATCGCGTTCTCCAGTTAAGTATATTCTTGGGCAAAAGCTCTGGTATTTTAGTTACAATCTTTTAAAGATAAGAGTTGGAATGTACTTTTCCTTTCAAACTGCTGCACTCGTTCTTCCAGATTTCCTTCCCCCCCCCACCCCTTTTTTTTAATGGCAGCTACTAAAACAGGCATAGGAATGTTTGATGAGTTGACACCAGGATGATTAGGGGACTGGAGACTAAAACATATGAAGAACAATGGTTGCAGGAATTGGGCCTGGCTAGTCTAAGGAAGAGAAGGATCAGGGGAGACAGGAGAGCAGTTTTACAATATCTGAGGGGATGCCACAGAGAGGAGGAAAGGGTCAAGCTATTCTCCAAAGCCCCTGAAGGCCAGAAAGGAATAATGGATGGAAACTGAACAAGGAGAGACCAAGGTCACCATGAGATGCAGAATTCACAGCAGCCATTAAGTTTTCTGTGTCCAGAATTCCCGTTTGTGACTTACTTGACAATAGCCTGGCCTCTCGTCTGTCCATTCAGCTTCTTGTAATGCTCAATTACTCGATCCTCACTTGGAAAAAAGAGGAGGGGGAAAAAAATATCCAGGATTTAATTTAGCAGGCAGAGCTGAAAAAGTATGATGGAATTCCAGCGTAGGAGATAATACCAGCTCCTCGGTGATCAAGAAATCGCAAAGATCTCTGGGATCAACTGAATATAGCAGAAAGGAGCATTTACAGCTCTGTATTTAAGTCCCCTGTGAGAATGAAGGTGTGGGTGCATCTGCCTTTGCATTGATCTTGGATTGCAGAGACCTGAAGCAGATCCCCACTTGATCAAATAGATCACTGAGTGACTATGTATGGATCAGCCACTCTCTTTCAGCTGCCTCAGAGTACAGTTATGGGAATAATGGGGGTTTTTTGGGGACAATTTTTAATTTTATATTGCTAATACATATTAATGCATGAACAATGTGATACCCGGGTATCATACATTTTAGTACAAATAAATATAATATTATTACTTATAGTTATTACATTTCATTTTCATTGTTTCCTCTTGTTTAAACATATCTAATACTACCGCCATTCAATTTCTGAACCTCCCTCATATCTTGTTATATTAAAATATGTATATTGTTGTACCCCTCTTATTTTTATTTCTATTCTAATTTTTATTCATGTCAGCGTAGTATTCAAAGGCGTTTCTTTTCTGTCTTTCATCTTTCACCTGCTTTATTATTCATATTTCCCTTATTTAACTCTTCACATCTCTATATATTAAAGTTTCATCTTTCATTCTTTCATTGTTCAGTGTTTCAATATATAATTCTAATACAAATCGTGATATCATTTGAACATATTGGGTGGATCTATTCATATTCCTTCCATTCATCCAATCCATGTAATTGTATTAATTCAATTAATTCATCCATTCATCCAATCCATGTAATTAATACACATGCTTACATTAAAATATATTCTTTCATGATCTAATTACTCATTGTTTGATTTTATTTTGAATATATTATTATTCATTTTATTATTCCATTGCTCCTCATTGCTATTATTTTGGCCTGTTAATAATATTCATTCATTCATTCTCTGATTTTCCAATTCATGCTTAGTTCTTATTCATAATTCAGTTCTGGGAATAATGTTAGGGAGGATTCTTCTACCCTCAAAAGTTGTGTTGCTCAACATTGGCAACCCAAAGATGTGTGTGGACGTCCAGCATGGGGTTGGGGAATTCTGGGAGTTGGAGTCCTCCTCAAGCTGCCCAAATTGGAGAAACATGGTTCTAGAACTTGCTTTGAGTTTTTAGAGAAAAGATGGGGGGGAATGATTTAAGAATAAGAACATAGAAAAAAATGCTGGTGTCATGCCCCTGTTGGAATCTGATTTGAAGGGGGAGGCCAAGCAGCTGACAGGGAGCAGGAGTGTGGGGCTCCATTGGCTGTGGAAGAAACTGGGGAAGGGCACAGTCCGGCTGGGCAGAGCAGGGGAGAGGTAGAGCAAGGGAGAGGGAATTCGGAGGAAGACCCAGGCCCACCCCCTCTTCATCCTAGGGCACTCAGGGAGGAACGGAGAAGGGAACAACGTGAGTTGCATGGCTTACAGGGGAGGAAAGGGCCCTGATTCCCTTCATTAGCTGCAGCTGGGAACAGAGTGTTTAAAAAGGGAAGCTGAGCGCAGCAAGCTGTTGGGAGTAAATCATGAATTATCAGGTATCATTGAGGCTTATCTGGGTTCCTGGTGTCTTCCCAACTGTGTGTGTTTTGTTGGCCTTTCAAGTCTGCAATTCCTTCTCCTGCCCTGTCAAGTTAATTGCTGCAGCGTGGTTTGTTTGGATTTTTAGTTATAGTTTGTATATACTTTGTTTTCAGACTGAATTTCCTCCACTTAAAGACTGTTCTTGGGAGAGTTTTTTTTTCTCCAGCCGAAGGTAACTGGACATTGGGGGCAAAGTTGGGGATAATAAAGGGACTCTTCTTGTTTATTTGACTGAATTGCCTTTGTGCCACGCCCCGAGTCATCAGAGGGGGGAAATGATTTAAGAATAAGAACGTAGAAAGGAACGCTAGCCCTGTTATTCAGAAGCGATTACAGACTTTGAGAAAGTTGTTTCCCAAGAACTGTAGTAGACTAAAACTCCTTTTGCAGGGGTCAGCGAGTGGGTGCAACGAGTGGGTGGGCCAGAGAGAGAATAAATAAAGATCACCCAGCCACAAAAAGGGAAATAGCACATTCCCTCCGCTGTCATCGAATTACAACACCAGAGAAATGAAAGGGGAAGCTGATAAGAGGGAAGCTGGGAGCCAAAAGCCTTCCAAAAAAAAAGAAAGACAGGAAAGACACAGAGCAAACTGTGGAAGGCAAAAGTATTTCTCTTTCCGCTTCCTGGACAGATTCATATTTTGTGCTGATGAAAGAGGCATCCGAGAGGCTCCCCGTTTATTTTAAATTGGGTGCTTCCAACGCACTGGTGGATTTAATTCCTCAGCCTGGCAGGAGGAGAAAATGGGAAAGCCTGGAGATTATTCATAGGGCAGAAGATTTTATTTATTTATATTTTATTTATTTATTTTGTCAATTGCTTACAAGATTAACAGGTATAAGTATAAACATAGTTATGAATACATGAAATGGATACGAATAAGAAAAATAAAAAGAAACCATAGGACAGGGACGGTAGGCACATTGGTGCGCTTATGCACGCCCCCCTACAGACCTCTTAGGAAAGGGGTGAGGTCAATAGTAGACAGTCTTAAGGTTAAAGTTTTTGGGGTTTGGGGAAGAAGCCACAGAGTCAGGTAGAGTATTCCAGACATTGACCACTCTGGTGCTGAAGTCGTATTTCCTACAATCAAGATCTGCCAAACTCCACATCAACCTCCTGGCTCTTGCCCTGGAGAAGGTTTGTAGTAGGTACACAACGCATAAGGTCCTTCCTGATGAAATGAAGGAGGAAACAAGCCGTTGGATAGCCACTAGGTAAAAAGTCTGGGAAGGGTTTTACAGGTAGCCTTCGAATCTACAACTCAGGGGTCATTTGAAGTTCTGAAGACTGATCTGGGGTCTGTTTTTGGCCTAGTTTTGAGTTGTGGTGGCGCAGTGGTTAGAATGCAGTCCTGCAGGCTACTTCTGCTGACTGCTGGCTGCCAGAAGTTTGGCAGTTCGATTCTCACTGGCCCAAGGTTGACTCAGCCTTCTGTCCTTCCAAGGTGAGTAAAATGAGGACTCAAGTTGTTGGGGGCAAGAGGCTGACTCTATAAACTGCTTAGAGGGGGCTGTAAAGCACTGTGAAGTGGTATATAAGTCTAAGTGCGATTGCTGTTCCTTCCCTTCCCTTCCCTTCCCTTCCCTTCACTTCCCTTCTCTTCTCTTCCCTTCCCTTCATTCTTTCTTTCCTTCTTTCCTTCCTTCCTCGCTTCTGTGGTGGCGCAGTGGTTAGGATGCAGCATTGCAGGCTGACTCTGCTGACTGTCAGAGGAGTTTGATCCTGACCAGCTCAAGGTTGACTCAGCCTTGTGTCCTTCCAAGGTTGGTAAAATGAGGACCCAGATTGTTGGGGGCAACTGGCTGACTCTGGTTCCAAGGGTTGGGCTCTTCCTTCCCCACAGTCATGCTATGTAACATTGGCTGTGTGGCAACTGGCTTGCATTGAATGGAAGGTGAGTGTCTGCACCACCAACCCATCAGGCCGTTCGGGGTAGATCTTACTAAGGATGTCAAATATTTACCAATAAGCCAGAGATGGATGGTCCTTAAGGGCTTGCATTGGAAGCGCCGGCAATTTCTTCAAGTCCGTCCTTACAGTTTCATTGCTGAAAAAAGAGAAGAATAAAAAAAGAAAGAAATTCAGTTTCTATGCAGGTTAATCCAGAGATGAGATTGAAAGGCTGAACCTTGAAGTGGTTCTTTTGTCATTTCTCTTGTTTATTTGGCTGAATAAGAAGAGGAAAGAGAAGGAAAGATGGGGAGGGGAAGAGAAGATGGAAGGGAGAAAAGAAAAGAGAAGAGAGAAGAGGGAAGGAAAGGGAAGGGAAGAGAAGAGAGAAAAGGGAAGGGAAGGGAAGAAAAGAAAAGAAAAGATGGAAAGGAAGAGAAGAGAAGATAAAAGAGAAGAGGGAAGGAAAGGGAAGGGAAGAGAAGAGAGAAAAGGGAAGGGAAGAAAAGAAAAGATGGAAAGGAAG